TTTCATTGACTCAGTAAGAAGAAATTTTCCAATCACTGAATAACCAACAGTAAATACGTTATAAGAAGTCATGATACACAAAAAATTTTTCTTGATTCACAGTGTGCAGCATCTACTTTATATTATATTAAAGCAATGCTAGCCACAGAAAATCGGGAATGTTCAACGATAAACTGCAAAGAAACTGAAACTAAGAGTGTAAGGATTTCTACTAATCATCTGCACATTTTATTTGAAACTTGATCCTGCAGCCCTTATTCACAAGATCAGACCTATTGAGTTTATTCACATGAGCTTTGGCTGCAAGATTGGACCTTAAGTACTATCAGGTGCACGTGCAGCCTATCATCAGATTTTGGGTTATTCATGCAAGAAGCTACCCTTTCAAATGCAGACTACTTAATGCTTCCTTCTTCATTAACTTACATGTCCTCTTCTGCTGCTCTATGCTTTCATCTGTGCTATGTAAATAGCCTCTCAGTCATCAAAACAAATAATGATCTTTGCAACCAAGGAGGAAATTAGTAGCAGGTGAACGCTTATTTTTTATATCTTGTTGAGACCAAGCTGTTCTTTAACTTAAAGGAGATCTGGAAAAAAAATCCAATTTTACTACTTAGCCATCTTAATGATGGGTTGTCAAGGTGGGATACTTTATCCCACTCACACTAACTAAATATTAACCTTGATGGCAATCTACTTTATGATGAGCTGGACCTAAAACTGTGAACATACTTTAAAGCAGTTTAAAGTGGAATAAGACTTCTCTGATGACATAAATAAGCTGCATCTTATCACACATGAAACCGGGAATTTCTGATTTAAATATTATATTTCTTTGCTTTATGTATGTTCTACATATAATACAAAATATTATACTATGGTGACTGTAAAAAAAAGTCTAAGTTCTTTTGCTACCTGCCTACAGACTTCTGCAGTTCAGATAGGCTGCAATTACAAGACATGGCATTAACCTGAAGGATCACAGCAAAGACATTTATGTCATGGTCCACATAATAATCTACATATTTGCAAATCCTCTTTGAATTTTGCAAGACATTGGTAGAGAAGCAAACTGTCAGTACAAGTAGAAGTCTCTTCATCAGTGATGGCATTCCCAAAAATATTAATGCCAGTGTTCAATGGCCTCCAAGTAATCAACAAATTATACCTGACTTTAGGCCGTAAGTTATATGCAAAGCAACAGACAATACCTGTCTTCTGATGCTGGGAATACTCTGGATACTACATGAGTATGGAAGGAGAAAATCAACATACACTTTTTCATACACAAATCTCATTATCAATACAACTTGTGCAACTGACAAAATCAAAGGTAAAGTCCCAGCAACAGATAATAGTAGTACTTTCTTTGTAATTCCAGCTAATTTCAATGTAATGATAAGGCAGGGTCTGTTGGCAATTTCAGTAGTCATAATATCAATTGCAAGTGCAGTACAAATAATAAGCACACACATCCACTAAAAAGGAGACACATATCATGTGAGTCTAATCTGGAGTTTTATCTTGAATACAAATCTCTGTAACTCAAAGCTTGAAAAAAAAAATTAAAATGAGACCTTGAAATGGAATGGTATGTCTGCAACAACTAAACTGTTGCCACAAAATTTTTCTCAATCATAATTCAAACTTGCCACATGGATTAGTTGTCAGCTCGAAGCAGCTGCAACACTATGTTCTATGCACTTCTGTTGCCATTTTAATTTTTAAAAAGCAAATGGAGAGGCTCTCTATAAAATTCAATGCCACAATAGCAATGAATGATCCAGAATCACAAAATTCTGAAGAGTTCACTAAATTGTCAATTAACAACACACATCAAAAGGCAGCAGAAAAAAATAGTGTGCCTGAAATACCTGATCAGTGAATGAAGAATAAAGAGATGTAAGGAGAAGAAATGTAGGCAAACCATTTTGATACTGGAAGAATCAATTTCCACACAACCAGAAAAATTGCAGAACATCATAGATAGGATATTCATGACTTTTTATTTGCAAAAAAAGGCATGGATAACCAAACTGAAATTTATTAATGCCCCAAGAAAGAGAGAATGATGCTGGTACCATAATGCCAGGGAGTACATTCACTTCTTAAAATCAGTAAAACATATTGAAAACATATACAACATATATATATGTGCACAGTAAAAAATGTTGTCTTGTGCAGAATGTATATATCCTTTAAAAACTGGAAAAGCAGCATGCAATGACTGAGCTAACAATGGAAACACTGAATACATAAAACAATTTTGTTCAGTTATACAAGTATAGCTACTTCATCATCTCACTGGATGACCAGCTATATACCTGAACCCTAAATGCACATTAAAGAACTACAACCAAAGGATGATGTTTCAAAGTAAAGCCCTAAGGCCAGATTTTACTACATCACTTTACAAATCATTTGAGTGACTGCTTCTTAAGCTACCACAGTTTGCTAAAATCACCTTTGACTACAAAACAACTAACTGGAGAGTGATACAACTCTCCAGTATTATTCAATGTTTACACTCACTAATTTATGGCACAAAACGAGATTTTAGTTATGTGAATAAATGCCAAGGATCAGTATGTCCTGTGTTCCCAAATAACTACATCAAAATCAGACAATGGAACATCTATAAACTTGTGGCTTGTTGGAACAACTATGTGGAACTGAGAACCTAGCAGAAATAGACTGAAACACAGATGAGCTTTTTTTCTCTAAAAACACACAACAGACAACTTAGAACAATCTCTATCAGACACCTGACCTTAAGCTTTCTTTGCCTTTCACCTACCGATATAAATGAAATGCATTTTCAAAGATCATTCAAACTTGAACATGGAGAATGACTATAACTAAGGCAAAATGCGCAACACAGATCACACATATATGATTCCCTGTCGCCCTGAAAACACAGATTCTGACCTTGCTAACATAGTTTTCTAAAGACTTTCCCAGGACAGTAACTGTAAACATAGATATGTGTACATTCTTTCTGTTACACGTCTTGTGATGGGCATCTCTCATGGCCAGTGCAGTGACAAAGTGTTATCCTGACCATCCAATCCCTGACTGTGGTAAGAAGCCTATAAATCCTGGGAGGAAAAATAAACTTTCTCTTCTTTTCACCACACCTCGACCTGTGTCCACGTGATCTATTCATCTTCAGCGGTAACAATTTCCCATTCCTGGAACAAGTACACCAAAAACATCACAAGAACCTGTTCATACTACTGTGGGTTGAAGCTATTTTCACACACTTTTCAGATGCAAAGAATGTGAAATTCACCACGTATTTCCAAATATGCAGAGGAAAGTGTGGTGGCACAGGATCCCCATACTGATCTTTAGAGTTCTGTCTTGTCCAACTCACTTATTTGGAAAATGGGAATACTTGAACAATGTAGAGACACACAAAGTCCACACACATGGGCCACGCAACAGTATTTCCTCTCAGAAGAAATGTGTATCAAGTAACTTGGATAATGTAGACACAGCAGCATTGTGTCTACATACAGAACTATCCCTTTTTTCTGGGAAAGTATACAAAATTAAAAGATGTGAGAAGCACCTGCAATAGCCCCACCCACTGTCTACTCCCTGTCACAGTTTTTGCAGGAATGAGGAGAAGGTGGTAAAAATCAACCTTCATCAATCCCTGGTAACAAAGCTCTGGCAGAACAAACAGCTGGGCAGCCATAGCACATTCAGCAGAGAGCGCAGAATGAAATGAAACGGTAGCTGAGCAAGCAACCACGGAGCACTCCCAGAGAGCTGAAGCACCTCTTCTATGAACACAGGCTGAGTGAGTTTGGGTTGTTCAACCCGGAGAAGAGAAGGCTCCAGGGAGACATTACAGCACCTTTCAGTAAAGGGGCTACAAGAGAGCTGGAGAGTACTACTGAAAAGAACATGGAGTGATGGGACAGAGGGCAAGGTTTTGCTAGGTTTTTTCTTCAAACCTAGCAAAAGCAAACAGGTTTACATTTGATGTTAGGAAGAAATTCTTGACTGTGAGGATGGTGAGGCACTGGAAGACTATGCCCAGAGAAGCTGGGGATACCCCATGACTGTCAGCCTTCAGTAAGGTCAGGGCTTCAAGTAACCTCATGTAGGAGAGGGTGTCCTGTCTATGGCAGGGGCTTGGAACCAGATAACATTTAAGGTCCCTTCCAACCTAAACCCGTTCCAGGGTTGTATGGATAAGACGCTTGTCTTCCTAAGGCACCATTATGCACAAACAAGTCCTGCTTTCCTGCAGATGGCTATACATCTGCCTGCTGATGTAAGGAAGTGAATTGATTTCTTATTGTGTTGGCAGCTTGTGTGCACAGCTTTTACTTTACCTATTAAACTGTAACCTGTGAATTTTTCACTTTTACCCTTCTGATTCTTTTCCCTATCCCACAGTGAGGAGTGAGCAGGTAACTACAGGGGGCTGAACTGCGTAGGAAGTACCAGTAGCACCCAAATATGTAATACACCAACAGATATTTAATCAATTCATCTTTAGATTTCTATTTCATTTATTGGTTCCTGGTATTTCCTAGTAACAAGAGAAAATCAACCAATGCATTTATCTTCAGCCAAAAAGTAAAACGTCGCAGCTTTGTAATCCATGATGTGACTAAGGTTGAAGAAAATACTGCACTGTGTAATATTCTGACTTACATAGGAAGATAATATACTAAAGTCAAACAGTCATCTAAATCACACCCTAAGCTACATAGCAAACAATAGAAATTATTGTTAGAGCATTAATATGCAGTAAATCCTGAAATATCTTCCATTAAATGACTGAAGTCTCACTAAAACTTTATTAACGTATGCAAAGTATCACTTCCACATGGAAACAAAACCAAACCCACAGCATGTGAACACACACACACATATATATATGTCCACATACATACCTACATATATAGACATACACATATATATACACACACACATAGACATATATACACATGAATGCACACACACAAATTATGTACCTCTCCAAGAGCTTCATAGCGCTTTTGGTTCCATCTATGCAAATCTTCACGATAATTAAAAACAAATGGCTCCCCGGTTTTAATGTGTCTTAATTGTCCTTCTGGAAAAGAAATAAAATCATTAGTGTTAATATACTTCTTCACTAAAAGACACACTCAATTGCTGAAAATTTTAATACAAGTCTACATCTAAAAATCAAGCTATTACAAATACCTCCTCATTTTAAGTTATAGACTTTTTAACAGAAAACAATTGTAGCATAACAAATTGGATTCCCCTTTTATGGTATGTACTGCTAGGTTAAGCTAAACACAAATTATGACTGTGAAATTGCACGCAGATATCAAATGCCAAACTGCTTCACAAGACATATTTATGTCTCAACTGCTATGAATTAACAGTGAAATGCAAACATTTTAAGTTAATATTTGATCTGCAGGTGATCGAGTTGTAGCTATAAATCCTCTACCTCAAAACTAACTGCATTGTAAAGAAACGCAAATACAAAAGAGGCTGGAAGCAAGGGGAAGATTTATCTTCAAGCTAACAACTTCCTAAGCTAATCTGGAAAGAACCATGTTCACAGTTAGGGAAAATACTTAACTCCAAGGTACAGTGAAGCCAAGTAAGATCTCCTAGATTTAGAGTACACTGAAAGTACAACAGTAGAATAAAGCAGACTGCTTGTTCAGAGCAAAACCACATACACTCTTACATTCCATTGTAACTTTCTGTAGTTGGCCTTGTTTATAGCCAAAGTTAACAGCATACCCAACCACTGGTGAAGACAGACTGTATTAAAATGAGAATAATAGAACAACAACCAGTAGGAAGCCAACTACAAAAACAAGTATTTTACCAACAATGTTTCAGCCTACCAGACAAAACACAAATTATGATCTCAGAGCATTACAAAACTGCAGTAGATCTGTAAAACATTAAAAACAGGGATATGTGCAAGGAAGCTGAATGCTGAAATGTCTGCATGATGAAACAAAGGTTTCTCCATAAAGTTTCCTGTTGAATAGAAGAAAATTGCTTGGTTCATGTATTTACAGAACTTCAACACTTTGATTCCTGGTGCTTTAAATAAAATATTTAAGATCTGATGTCTATAATAGTTATGCTTATCTGCTGATTTAACTTTTTTCCAGACTTGCCTTACTTCATGTACTAGATACCAAAGAATTATTTCTACACAGTTTCCTATCCCTGTCTTGGGTTCAAACATCCCCCTTCTCGCATTTTTCATCATAACTTTACTTTTGGCTGCCCCTTCTCAGATATATACTCTTCAAATATACCATTCAACATGAACTGGATCTTGCCTCAAGTAACAAGTATCTGCTATATTTTTCCTTGGACTTTATGGAACCTCTGCCTTTTTCAGATTTAAATAATCTCACAAAAAACTTCTGTACTTTTCTGCCATAAAAAGACGTATGATTAAGACATAAAAATACATGACTGAACATTTGAATTAAATGTACAAAAGCAAAATGGTGACTTTTTTGCTTTGCTGACCCTTAGTATATAATAGGTTTTCCTCCATTCTATGGAAATCACCCAGGCTGTGAGGTTCGTAATGGAATATTGAGTAATATAACTCATTCCCCAAAATTCAAATTTCAGCCCTTTTTATCAGCCACATATGAACCATTAACTCTGAAGTCAGTAAGGAAGACAGTAGACACTGTGCAGATCTAAAAATAAGGAGCTGAAAAGTGACAGAGCTGAACTCCTTCCATCAAAGAAAGAGCATCACTTTCATGACACTTTTAGTCTCTAAGTACCTTCCTGTGAAAGCCATCAGGGTATTAAAAAGCTAAGTGTTGCATAAATGACTATCATTTAAAGGAAAGCGTTTTTTTTTTTTCTTTAAAAGTGAAAGATGTAAAACTGGCAGATTTAGAAACTAAAGTTCCTGTTCACAGAGCAAGCACTGCAAAGATGTAAAATTGTAAACATTCGCATTTGCTCTACAGGTTTTAAACAATCTTGAAAGAGTCACTTCCTGCAGTCTGGTATTATGTTAGCTCAGAGGCTCATTTCTCACCTGGATTTTAAAATGCATGCACTAGAAATTATAAATACTAAGTAATTTAACATAGAGACTAAGCAAGATGGAAGTACTTACTTGCAGTCATCACACACTTGGCTGCAAGGCAAAATTATGTTCCACACTAGAAGAGACAGTCTATCACATTCCTAATTCTTCTAGCAACATATATAGGTGTTTTCCTATTGGTATTTATGGAATAATTGGGACAAACTATTATGTGAAAAACAACTTCTTCTGGAGCCATAAAAATTAATCAGGAAATAAAACATTCCTTAAATATGTGGCCAATCTTCAATTCTAATTTTTAAATGCTACTGAAACTACTTTCAGAATTCTTGTACCAACACCTCTGTAACAGAAAGCAGGAAGTCATAAAGTAGGTCCAGTACAACTCCAAAATGTTGTACGAAATGAGGGATTTTTATGATAATTGTATGAAATAAAAAACAGGTCTTAGATTTACAAGTCTATTAGCACTAAAGTTGAAAATTCTATTCCTAACAGGAAAGCATGAAATTTTAATAGGGACTTATAAGGTATAATTCAACTTCTGATAACCTCTCAACATTATTCTAAGTATAGTCTTTGCAAAGCACATATTACTTACTTTCATTAAAAATGTACTCAAATCCTTCCAAAGTATCAGGAAATTCAAGTGGTGGCTCATCTTTTTTCATTAGTTCATCCAAGTCTATTCTAGACAATAAATCTAAAAAAGGAAAAGAAAAAATTACATAATGCATGCTGTGTCTTTTATTTCCCTTGTAACGCTGACAAAATGTGTTTGCTGAGATGTGTAGATTTCACAGGCAGAAGAATATCCCAATATTACTAAACACAGGACACCAGTATGGGAAATCTTGTTCAAGGTTCAAAAGTTGGACTTCACTGCCTGTACATGTACTCATTTGTTTTTTATTTACCTACCTATTTATCTCTATGCTAATCTAAAAATGTCCAGAGATAGGGAAGTCACCAACGACATAGTGATTTGTTCCAATGATTCATTACCACAATTAGAAAATATGTGTCTAGGGTGTGCATCATGGTTTTAACATAAAGTTCTCTAGCTTCAGTTTCAAATCATTGATAGCTCCTTGACTGCCTTCTTGAGGGTTCAGATTATTTGATGTACATCATCTCACTGGCATTTACCAGCTGTGTGAGCACACCAGTGTTCCTTTGATACCCAGATTTTTAAGACCTGAATCCTTCTCTCAACCACCTCCTTTAATAGCTCTCAAGGGAAAACTTCCATCCATTTTACAGCACACCATGGTATACACATCCTTCTCAGATCAGGACTGTACAGCCTGATACAGCCTGTAGTCACTAATACAAGTACGCTAAAATTAGCATAACCTATATTCTTTACCCTAGATTTAAGGATTTACATTTAACCAGGGGCAAAATTATAGGGACAACTTTACATGTACATGTAACTACCAAACAATTACTGCTTACACAGGTAGTAGTGTACACAATCTCTCATCTCCTCATTGTGTTTCACACACATAACACAGTGCTATGCTACGAATGTATTTTCTGATTAATAATTAAAAGAAAGATCAAGAAACAATTCAGCAGGATTTCACTAAAATATATTTTCCCACTTCTTCGTTAGATGAAATTGAAGACCACACAAACATTCTGTTCATGAGTGCTAAACTGACTTTGAACTATTATTGTTTCACAAATCAAGATACTGTGTATTACCAAGGAAATACATTAAGCGTTCTAAATATATTGATTTTTACCTTTATTATTATCCAACACTGTAGTTCAAAGAAAACACTCATTTTCTTTAAGTTTCATTTGGCACTATGTTTCTATTTTTGTATTACTTAAAACCATTATTTTTATCTTTTGTACCACTATTTTTGCTTGGTCTTGTTGCCAGTAGGCTACTCACATTACCTAAACTTAGGACTGACACATTCAACACTTTAAAATTTCTGCTGTCTACAATGTACTGAAAATTATCTTCAACATTCTTGAGAGTTCCTTGACCTGGTCTTCTACAGCTCTTTGAGTTCACTTTATATTTATTCCAGCATCCATGATTGTTGCCAACTCTTCCTTCTGAGTGATTCCACTGGGCAAAGCTGGAGGATCAAAAGCCATCTGGTATGGCTGCAGAAAGTCAACATCTTTCCAACAAGTATCATGGTTTCTGAGTATCTCTGTGGTATTTAGATGTCTATATAACACCAGATACTAAGTGGATGATTCTAAATCTAGCTTTCTTTTACATAATAGCTGTTTAATAGCAAGTTCTATGAAATTCAATTCATGCAAGAAATCATGTGTTTGTTCTTGTGCACTGTCCTTTGAAAGTTCTGCAGAAGCTCCTTCGGTCCTCAGCCAAATGATATGGAAAAATAAAAGAATTTTGTCAACGAAGTCTCCCACAACAGGATGTGAAAAGCATGTCCTTTCCTCCTCTGTACTTTGACAAAATCAAGGTAGCAAACACTCTTCAGCACATCTTTCTCTCCTTGATGATGAGACTCTAATCATACCACACCCCTAAAACATAATTTCATTTGAGTCTCCACACCTTCTTACTGTGATCTATTTGGAGATATATTTACATAAAAGTGTCACTTACTATACAACAAAATATCAACCTCCTGAATATTAAGGACCATATTATATGAAGTATATTATGCTTATTCGCAGTATGTACAGCTTGTCATGATTTACAGCTTTCATCAGTCACTAAGGAAGACTGCACCTGTTCTGAGCTGCAACCACTGACATGGCCACTCTCTTCATGTGCAACTTTTCAAATTAAAATCATCTGAAGTGTCTTACAACTTCGTGATTCTTTCCAAATCTAGTCTACAATTCTCACCCAAAATCTTGGACTTTCCAACTCAATTTGAGATAGTTCAACAGAGCTGAAAAGTGAGCAATCCTGCAGGAGATCTTCTATACAGCTAAACAGAAAATCACTCGATCACGTCAATGACACTAATCCTTAATGATAATCGAATTAATGCCACATATAAAATGGGAGTTTTACTTCCAAACCTGAACTATAACTTCGCCAAAAGATACTAATTGGCCAGAACTGGCAGAAAGTTTGATGAAAGTACTACACAGATTTTCACCAAATGCTTCACAAAAAGTCAGCTGCAACTGAAGCAACACCATCTATCATCACATATACAGAACACTGCTTTCTAATAATGCTTTGATAGAAATCCAAGATGTACACTGGAGTGGCAAGCTATGTTATTTTTTCTCCTTTGAAAGACAACTTAGAATACAACTGTGTGATGCAAGCACTTTAAATCAATGTTTGGTTAACTTGTAGGTCGAAACCAATTTCATGTACTTCCAAAGCTGAAAGCCGCTATCCAAAATATGCATTTTGGAAAATACATAAATACAATAAATACATTAAGGTAATTTATTTTTTTCCCCTAAGTCATTTAGACCAGTTTATTATTTAAAACTTACAAAGGGAACTTTATAAAACCAATATGGAAATCAATGTCGTGAAAGCCTCTTCCCTTTTAGCATTTTACTCCAAGAGATTTTTAAAAGCTGTAATATGGTTGCCTAACTATAAAACAAAATCATCACACAAATTAAATCAAAACTTCCGAAAACTACAAACACAAAAGCACCAGTCAACCTTCTAAAAGGACAATTATGAAACATTTAAAAGGCAAAGAATAGTTTATTCCATTACTATAATAGTAATGGAATAGTATATTCCATTACGACATACCACTATGTTTTATATTCATCTAATGAAAATTCTGATAAATGGGCATGCCATTAGACAATAAGGATTAGCACCAATAGACACAAGATTCTCTTCTAGTATTGTAATTCCCAAGCTCTAACTCACCCCTATATCATATTATTTTCCTTTCCTTAACAATCATTTCTGAAATGCCAAAAAAATGAACATTTTTTTTTTATGTAAAAAAAAGGCAAAAAATACTCATACCCTTTAATGCAGTGGTCTTCTCTTTTTCATCTGGACCTCCCTGCTGGAGTTGAGCCATCATTTATCCAAACTATCAACAAACTTTAAAATACTGAGGTAAACGTAGATTAATATTCAAAGGACAATCTGAAAAAGAATGAGAGTTGGAAATTAATAAATTTACTGATTTCTTCTTGAACAGCTCTTGTCTGTTACTGCTTACACCACCAAAAAAAAATACAATAAAAAAAATAAATCTGGGTATTGTAAGCCCGAAGTTTGACCAAGTTTGGTTAAAGATTCAAGTTTACAAGAATGAACAATACATCTCCCTAATCCTAACAGGATTTCTACCTAATAAATTCTAATGCAGCATCAGTAAACTACAGACCTTCTACAGAAGCACAACACCTGCAAGTCCAAAATAGAAGGTACAAGAAAAAACAAAATACAATCAACAGAACTTCCTCAATCTTCATGGATTTTCTTCATCAGTTAACTCCACTTTGTTGTCATTACTATACTAAATTATTTTTTTAGTAAAGCTTCATGAAACACAATTTTAAGTCACTGATTTTCACAATGAATTACTGATACTAAAATGTATTTGTACTGTAAATGCATTTAAATACAAAAACTGCATTTGTCCAGCTGCAAAACACATCTCAGTGTATTCAAGATGAGAATACATATACATATTTTTTACATATAAAATCTTTTTCCAAATTTCTCCTACTGCACAGAACACAACCCAGACATTCAAATCCACAGACTCTTTCATCTTGAGTATGACACCAAGGGAGTGAACTACCAAATCACAATTGCTTCCTCCTTCTCAATAAAAAGACTTCAGTGCATTGAATTCTTATTCCCTTAATCTTTTTTTGGTTCTTTGTTTTATCTGTCAGTCATTACCAACTTGTTTTATTCTTCTCCCTCATGTACTTTATCATTGATGAGCTTGCATGAACTCTATCTCAATTGTAATTTGTAAAAACAGTAACAGGATTCATCAACTGTACTACTGGCTCCCTAACACTTAGACCCACAAGAAAGAACCCCAAAATGGTTTAACAGCAGTTCATTGTATAGACAGCAGAAAAAAAATACACTTAGCATAATAAAGACTACCTCTCCATTCTACATAGAGAAAACCTATTAAACATTTTCTTGTATATTAAAGGAGTAATACAGCAATTTAAGGGGGTGTTAGCTATTAACTAAGGTAAGAGTCTGAGGGATTGTTGTGATTTGGTTTTTCAAACTTAGAGCTCTAGAAAGTCCAATAATCCATTTTACACACTGAAACTATGGCAGACCTTGACACCTTCCTTTGTAAAGGCTGTTCAGACAAAGCTGATGGGAAACAGCAATACAGTACAAGAGTCTTTTAAAGACACAACTCCACAAAGAAAACTCTGTTTATATTGTGTACTTCATAAATTATGACATGATTCAGTTAAAATGTGCATCTTTTGTCTAACACTTTAGTCACCACCCATAACAAAAGCAATCACAAAAATAACAGCAAAACTACTGAGACTTTTTTGTGCATTTTCTAGCTATAATGTTTTCAATGCAAATATTAAAGTGATTCAAATGTTGATTCCCACAAATGGATGGTATTAGGTATTTTCCTCAGATGCTTTCAAGCAGTCCACTGAAAAAAAGACCACGAAATACAAAATCTTGTCCACCTTGTTTGTATATTTGCAGCACAAACCCACTATATTCTGCATTGTAGTACATTCTAGTAAATTCCAGTATATTCTAGTAAAGCACATAGAAAAAAAAAGTAATTTCAGTTAAAATTATTCAAAGTGCTAAAAAATTACATTGATAGTGTTTTGCAATAGCCCAGATTAAAATTACTCTAGTCATATGAAATTGAGTGGTTCTCACTATACAACACCTGACAATTCATAATTTGGTAACAGTAAGTTCATGCAGTTAACAAAATACATACAAGTCCTCAAAGATTTTTGGTTAGCCAAGGGAAGAAACATAAAATCTATCTGAACAGATTCACCTTGTAAAACAAGACCCCATTCCCTGATCAGATAAATCAATGCAGAGACCAGGAATCCCTGCTATTCTTGTCTCTGCCATGGATACCATTCTTCTTCCTTTAACAGATGAAGACCCTGCTACTGAGTAGACAATAGTTCAACTGTAAAGCTAAAAGCACCAAAATAAATAAATCCAAATTTAGCTTTGAGGGAGAGAATTTACAGTTCTTTCTGGTAAAAAGTAAAAACTGTTATAGCAGCCACTGGAGGGAGGACTTGATACCATAATGAGGATGGAACAAGCACAGAGTAAGTTGTGCATTGTTTCTGTGAATACAGGATTTTCTGGAATCCCTTGTTTAACTTGTTTAATTAACAAAGAAAAGAAATTACTTGAGAGAATTGGTTTTCTGTTCTTTGACAGAGAGGTGCCAGATTCACTACTGATGGTACAAAAATGAACAGTGGAAAATTATGAAGCTCTCTGAGTGGTTCCATATAAGTAAAGCAGAAACTGCAGTTTATTCTAGGCATTAATTTCAATCTGCAGCTTATTCTGGGCATTAATTTCAAACTCCAGTGATCTTCAACTGCATATACTGACTTTACATTAATTCCTGAATGACATCAAGTTTCTTGTACTAAGTACTATTTTAAATGTGTTGTTCTTATTGTGTTAATATTCTTACAATTGTTCATTCATGTTGTTATTCATACAATTATTTAGATGAGTATTTTGAAAACGCCTCTGTTTTTTCTATATTAGATACATAGGGCAGGCATACTTCCTAAAGCACAAGTTACTATTTCACCTGAAGAAATAGATACAAATAGCAAATAAGATAAAGTATGTATCTTGTATGTATCTTGCTTATGCATGAAAACTTAAGAATTCTGACACAAAGTATCTTATACATATTCTGCACCTCAAACTCCATGCCCAGCAATACTTAAAATAATTTGAAACAGAAATATTCTGGTTTCATGGTTTCACATGAGATGAGGAGGCTGCATTTTCATTATACCCTTGCTTATGTAATTACAGAAACTGGTGGACTCAGAAACAAATCATCAATACATTAATTTTTTAAAAATGCACACATAAGAGAACATGCACATATTTAATTTTGTTGCCTGTAAAGTAGTATTGGGAGTTTGGACTACAGACCTTGTGATGGCATAACAGTCATATTTTTTTAAATCAAACAACACCATATCATATCCATCCATATATGGTACACATATACAGATTACAACATATTTAAAATACTCTTCATTGCGCAGATGCAGCCAGAAGTGTGACAAAAAACACAGTATAATATTTTGCCCAAAATTAGGAATACCTGAAGTTAAGTCAATATTACAAATATTCCAAATAAAGGCTATAAATTATTGTAGTGTTAACAACAAGAAGAAATAAGAAAACACGCAAGTATCTTCAAATAGCACAAGTCCTTCAAGCTTACGTGTGTACAACATGAAGATGTGCTATCAGAACACTTCTTTGTATTGCACTCCTTTATTAGAATGTAATAGAATGCAAGTCTTATTCTTTGTAAACTGACATCCCAAGCAAACCAGGAACAAGTATGGGTTAGAGTTTTATAATGTGGCTGATGACTTATTAAGATCCAATTTTTCTTCAAAGAGATGGCTGGATTACAATTTGCCTTGAGTCCCTTGTTGGTATTGGCTCAACAAAGCAAAAAAATGCAACAATTTATCTTAGCAGTATTTTCTGTCTAATTAGATTTTATCTTTTCCCACTTTCAGGGCACTACAGATGGCATCAATAACAACTTAATAACAATCAATTAAGGTTGTACTTCACTTTACCACACTTAAAAGACAATATTTTTAAGTCCTTATTGGTTTACTCAACTTAAGTTCTAAAAGGCTACTATTTCCAGTCTGCTTTAGACTAAATGGCTTTGAAAATGTCTACCTCTAGTAAAAGAAGTTTCAGAGACAGAATCTTACGCTCAGTTCTGATGATGTTAATAAGCACCTACAGCATCTCCATTTTAGTGATCAGAAATTTAGGATCAGAGGATCTGCTTAGTAGTACATGCCTCTTGCCATTAATTACTTTTAAAGCCTGTCCCACTCTGCTGAAGTCAAAATGGCTTTTCTCACACATTTAACACAGACTTTCTAAGACTTATCGGAATTTCAAGAAAATTTACCTAGTTGTTCAGAGCATGCTCCAGACCACTGCAAAAGGGAGGGGAAACATAAACAGGAAGGGGATTAATAAATGCTAGAAGGGCAGATGTAACTACTTAGTGATCCTAAAGTCCCTAAATCCCAGTAGATCTTTGTACTCTACCAAAAGGTGGTAGAACTTACTGACAAAGTACATGACTGCGGTCAGTATTAAAGTTTGATATATTTGCACAGTAACCACCTTCCTGGTTTATTTACCCTGTAAGTTCAAACAACAGATGATTAGGAGCCATGTGCATTAGCAATATGTGTCAGCAACTCAACTATTTACACCAAGCAGTGTTAACACAAGTCCACAAACTGGGATTTTAATGGTTTTGGTTTAACTTCCTTGAAATGCTGGAAATTACCTTCATAAACATATCCATATTAGCACAAGTAAAAAAACATGTCAAAATAACTTAAAAATAGGCAGTACAACCTCAACACAGCCTCTGAGATGTTGACATTATAATGCTATGTCAACCAAACATAAGGTTCAAAATTACCGTCTGCAGCAACAACAGCATTGAGTATTTGTACAGGTTTTCTCTGGGAGAGAGTAAGTTTTCTCTGTAGTAGCTCATAGGGTTTGGATTTGTGCTGAAAGCAGCATCGTTAACACTGCTGAGCAGTGTTCACACAGCATCAAGGGCTCTCCTGCTTCCATGTGCTGCCCTGCCAGCAGACAGGCACAGGTGCCCAAGAAGCTGGGAGGGGACACAGCCAGGATAGCTGAAACCAGCTAACTACATGATACCACATTCAGCAATAGAAACTCAGAAAAGAAGAAACAGGGAATGTGTGGAATGATGGTGTTTGTCTTCCCAAGTTACCATTACACATGAAGCTGTGACTTCCTGAGGATGGCTGAATATCTGCAATTCTTTATTTTGCTTTGCTGGTGTGCATAGCTTTTACCTTCCCTATAAA